CCGTAACCCTAAACCCCTAACCCCAAAACCGCCTAAATCCCTTTACCCCAAACCCTAAACCTAAAACCCCTAAACCCCTTAAACCCCTAAACCCCTGAACCCCTGAACTCTAAACCCCTAAACCCTAAACCCCAAAACTTCCTAAATCCCTTCCCCAAACCCGAAACCCCTAAACCGCTGAACTCTAAACCCCTTAAACCCTAAACCCTAAACCCTAAACCTAAATCCCTGAACCCTGAACCCTAAACCCCTAAACCCTAAACCCTAAACCCTAAACCCTAAACCCTGAACCCTGAACCCTCAACCCTCAACCCTAAACCCTAAACCCTGAACCCAGAAACTCTAAACCCTCCTACCCTAAACCCTAAACCCTCCGAGAGGCCCCAAGAAAGGCCTCTGCCAAGTCCCCGAGCTCCTGGAGGCAAAGAGACTGCAGCGACGGCAGCTGCGAAAGACGAATCCTGGGCGCCGGTTCTTTTTTGAGTTACTGTAAAGGGCGCCTTTAAAGGTATAGGGTTTAGGGTTTAGGGTTTAGGGTTAGGGGTTTAGGGTTTAGGGTTTGGGATTTTTGACTTTGGGTTTAGGGTTTTTGGTTTAGGGTTTAGGGTTTAGGATTTAGGGTTTGGGGTTTAGGTCGTAGGATTTGGGCCTTAGGGTTTAGATTTTAGGATTTCGGATTTGGGGCCTCAGGTTTAGAGGCTACTATACCGGCCACGGTAAGGGGGGTTTAGGGTTGCTGTAAAAGATCTTTCAAGGAAACCCCCATTCTCATATAGCACTAAACCCTAAACCCGAAATCCGAAACCAGTATGTTCGCACTAAACCCTAAACCCAAAACCCTAAACCAGTATATTAGCACTAAACCCTAAACCCAAAACCCTAAACCTGTATATTAGCACTGTGATAGGAGCAATGATAGAATCCTGTAGGTCATTTTACAATTAAGATATACCATTAGAATATAGTTGCAAAGATAGACCTATAATACAATGATAAAAAGCCTCCCAAAACCAGTATATTAGCACCAAACCCTAAACCCTAAACCCTAAACCAGTATATTAGCACTAAACTTTTAAACCCTAAACCCCAAACCCTAAACCAGCATATTAGCACTAAACCCAAAACCCAAAACCAGTATAGTCGCACTAAACCCTAAACCCGAAACCCTAAACCAGTATATTAGCACTGTGATAGGAGCAAAGGCCTGAGACCTCACTCTTTCCGACACCGGCCTCGGCTTCCGCAGCGCCTTGGCGAAGCGCTGCCAGGGCGGCCAGTCGCCCCGGAGCCAGTGGAGGAACCTCTGCGGAGGGGTTTAGGGTTTAGGGTTTAGGGTTTAGGGCTTAGGGTTTAGAGTTTAGGATTTAGGGCTTTGGGTTTAGTGTGTCTTTCTTTTTTGGATGGGTGCGTGAGGACTTTCAAAGGGTTTTTTTTATATGGTTCGATAGGAATCTGTAGCATGTTTCTCAGGTCTTAAGTACCTGGATGCAAAAGAAACTTTTCAGAACCCTACAAAACAAGTAGTACATTCTACAAGAACTATGGAAGATCCTTGTAAAGCCCTATAGATCCTACAACACACCCATGGAGGACCTTGTAACACCCTAACCCTACACCCCGAACCGCCAAGAAAAAGCTGTCTGAGCTTCCAAGACGCCGGCAAACCGATGCCAAGGAGTTGCCGATGTCCGGGAGGGCAAGGAAGCCGAAGGTGTGCCTCTAAGTGGGTTTCGGGCTTCAAAAGGGGATCCGTGTTTAACTCCTGTTTTGATGTAATGCTAGAAGTTTTGTGACAACTTGAGAGGGTCCAGGGTGTGCCTCTCAGGGTACCATAAGGGTCCGTTTTGAAGGGTACTACATGTTGACGTAATGCTGTAATTCTTCAGGGCCCTCAGTGACATTCCACGAGTCTTGTGACGCGGTCTATGTACTGCGGTAAACTTTACAAGGGCTGAATAAGGTTCTGTGTTCTTTTGCTGTACATGATACTGAAGGGGTTTAAGCGGGCTATATCAGAGCTTTGCAATACTAACTAGGGTGTTTGTGGGGTTGTTTTAGTGCTTTAGGGCTTCAGTTCTGCAAGGGTTCTTTTCGGGATTTTTTAAGGGCTTCGGAAGGGTTCTATTTGGATTTTGTGCGGGTGTATGAGCGTGCTCAGGGTTTTTGAAAGAGTTTGAAAGTTTACTGCTTAGGCCTTGAAGGGTTTAGGGTGGACTGTTTAGCGTTCAGCATTTACACAGTTTAGCTTGCAGCATGCAAGCAGCCATGAACGGTATTATCTGTTCTTGCATTCTATCTTTCCGGCCTCATTGCACTGCCAATGCCTCCGCAGAAACAAAACTGCCGGACCTTCCATCACCCTGCGCCCATCCGATATCTGACCGAACTCTGATGGATTGACTTATGGTGTCCTGGCCAACGTTGGCCTTTCAGAATTGGCATGTGAGTTACGTTGCCCCGTTCTCTGACAGTGCAAACTCAGAACGAGCCGCAACAAGAC